GACGCTCAGATGTAGAAGAATCAGCCATGACAGATAAGTAGCTGAATTGCAGCGGAATAGATGAGTAGCGGTGTCACTCCCCCTCAAATCCGACGATGTATGAGAGTCTAGATTTGGAGAAAGCAACACCGAAAAATAAAGTTGCAGTATCCAAATAAAGTTGCATCTATCTCCCCATCAAATCCGACACTGGTAAAGGGTCGAGATTTGGAAGAAGAGAAATTGAAATAATAGTAAAGAGACTCAAACATGCCAGTCTCGTGGCATAAACAAATGCAAGAGGAGAAGGTGGTAGCATACGGCTGTCCCATGAAGAAAAAACTTCAGAAAAGGAGAATAGTAAGGGAGGAAACCCAGCAAATCATGAATAGAGACAAAGACAAAGATAAGGTGCTCAAACTGAGAAGCGGAAAGGCAACTCAAGAGAGTTGCTGAAGAAGACAAAGACCTGCAGAACAGTCAAAGGAAAGGCTCGATGAGCGGTGACGAGGCTCGCAGAGGAAAGCAATGGCTCGGTGAGCGGTGATGAGGCTCACAGAGGAAAGCAACGGCTCGGTGAGCAGTGACGAGGCTCACGGAGTAAAGAGACTTGTTATGAAGTTTCAAAGATAGAGAAGCTGAGACATCAAGAAAGACCATCTGGCATACAAAGATAAAAAAATAAAAAATTTGGAATAGTAGCGAAGAAGCATGTGAAGGCTAGGTGCGGTGAAAACACATATGAGAGGATGAACAAAAGATGGTGACTATACAAAATGAAGACCCATGATGGGTTAGGAATGAGGAGTGCCAACGACTCTCAATTTGGCAGAGGTTATCACATGTTAGGAACCAGGCTCTGATACCATGTCAAACAAAATAGGGCAAATATTCAGTTATGCTAAGATACGCTCATATTTTATTCTTCTCCAATATGGAGGTATTTATACAAGTACAATGATGTGTTAACCCTAAATAAAATAGGAAATATATCTAAATTACAATATGAAGTAAATCTCTATTACAATAGGTCTAAATAATAATTGGTAAGTAACCAAAATTCTAATGAAATAAGCATCCAAAATTCTAACTAAGTAAGGAAACAGAATTCTAACTAAGTAAGGAAACAGAATTCTAACTAAGTAAGGAAACAGAATTCTAACTAAGTAAGGAAACAGAATTCTAACTAAGTAAGGAAACAGAATCCTAACTAAGTAAGGACTTGCCAACAACCTAGGATTGGAGGGTCTTCAAAGGCAAATGGTTTTTGATTGACATTGATCCTCTGCTGTGCAAGTTTGCTTGATATGCGTAATACAAGTCATGTTATTAGGCAAAGATCTGCTGATTAAAATGGAAAGAAAAATCTTATATGCTTGTCTTACACATGCATCCTCTTTTGTATAGAATCTAAATTGAAAAGACAAATCCACTACGGATCTATACACAAATGTTGGTGCAGGAGCTCCAAAAATCCAGCAAACAGCTTCTGAACACCACGGTCCACATCCACGATATTAACAGCCAAAGCATTTGATTGATGATAATGAGAATACAAATTCCTCAAATAACTAAGAAGGTCCACCACATTACCAGAGTAGGTTCCATAATGATTGTCATAAACTTCTTTCATAAATTTATCCATGGAACCAAGGACTTCAATACGGTTCCAAGATTTGAACTTATCAAAATCAGATGATTCGAAAGCATCTTCCACATCTTGACGTGTAGTAACCTGGTACCACTTACGATAATAACTTGCAAACATACCCATCCTTTCTTTAGAGCTTAACAAGAACGGATGAGATGCCAATTTCTCGACAGAATTATGATAGCTGAAAAGACCAAAAGGACATCCTATAAGAAATGAAGTAGAAAGAAGAAAAAACAAAAGAAGTTAAAAGTACAAGAGAACTCACTTTAAATGCTCAGCATGGTCGAGGAATTTCAAGAAGCTATTACATTCCTCCCATAAATAGTTGGACCCCAAAATTTTCTTGAACCAAGAATCTAACATCGTCCTAAGGTCTATGATATCTTTTTTCTTTCGTTTGTTTTGTTCACGAGTAGTACTCAAGTCAGCCAAAGATCTCTCAATGTTGACTATTTTCAGCATTTCATCAACAAACACAAAATTAGACAACTCATTCAAACCACCATGGTATAGGCCCTCAGCATGAATGTTACGCACACCATGAATCAAATTCCTACAGAATAATAAAAAAATAATTATGTCATAGGCACACCATGAATCAAATTCCCACAGAATAATAAAAAATAATTATGTCAGAAATAATTAAAACAAAACTAAACAGTAACCTTATTGAATTAAAACTAACGAATTACCTAATGGATATACACCAAAAGTCTTCAAGACGGTCATCAGGAGTCCGGATAGGTAATTTAACCTTATCGAGAGGTTCAAAACGATCATAACAAACACATCATACACCCTTCCTCATCTCTATGTCATCAGGAATTTTGGCAAAATGCTTCTGCTTAATGAACAAATGCCTCCGAGGCCTTAAAACCACATCATCACTAACTCCATAAGTCATATGAAAAATTAATTCCGCCCTACTAGCAGCATCTTTCCCATCAACTCCGTAAACTTTTACAAATGTCACAGGTATCGGTTTCCCGTTACGTTTAAAATATAAAAACCCCTTATACGATTCTTCTGATATATTGGAATCAAGGGACAAACTGTAACAACAAACCATCGGTCCAATAACCTTGTCATGTGACTCATTCCTCTCATACTCATCTTTTGCAAAATTAAATAGCTCTTCCTGGTCATCCATTTCTTAAAATTAACAATAAAAGAAATCTGCAAGAAAACCAGTATTGTAATTAAAATATAGCACTCAAACAATTCTGCTAAACAAGAGATGAGAGGGGAAAAAAGGCCCTTTTTTCATAAAAAAGATGTTTTCTAAAACGAAAACTGGAAATTTAATTTTGCAGAGTTCAAATCACCATTGGGAAAAGACCTTTCTGTTGAAGAATACACGAGTCCTACATCGGAAACTTAACAAAATAGAAAGTCCCATATAATAAATGGTTCCACTCCTAATAACATCGAGACCTTTTGTATAAAACCCTACACCTGCTAAACAGGTGGTTAAGTTGGGGATAATATCGGTGTTGTTAGTAGTGGGCCGCTGACCCGTCTCTCTGAAATTTAACATGGTATCAGAGTGGGTAGGTTGACTGGGCCTGATTAAACCCAAATCAAACAAACTCAAATCAAACAAAAACCCCAAATTGAATCAAAATCAAACAAACCCCAAATTAAAAATTATAAAAAGAAAAAAGAAAAAAAAAAGTGACTGATGTGGAATTGATTGCACTTGTGGCCCACTAAAAAGTGGTCCCACGTGAGGAGGAGTGTTGAAGAATACTCGAGTCCCACATTGGAAACTTAACAAAATAGAAAGTTCCATATAATAAATGGTTCCACTCCTAATAACATCGAGACCTTTTGTATAAAACTTCACACCTGCTAAACAGGTGGTTAAGTTGCTAGAGGTGGGCCAAGGGTTCGTCCCTCTGAAATCTTAACATTTTCTTCGGCAACCAACTTTGTAAATTTATATGTAGAAAATCCAACAATAATTGGCATAATATTTAACACCATACCTGAATTTGGCAGACGTTCCAATTCAAAGAAATCTAAAATTAAAAATAATCCACAAAAATTCGAATAGGTTAGATTGGAAACAAGGGAAGAAGAGACAACAACAACAAGCGAAACTGAGAAAGCAATAGACAACAGTCAATCTGGACAAGCCAACAAAGAGCCCCACAACAGCTTATTGTACCAGACCCAAAACAGACACAAAACTGATAAAACACTTGGCATGACTCAATTTTTTATTTTTACTTTTGTAATTTTTTGTATAACAGCTATTTCCAAAATAAAATAATTTATCCCTCACAAATCAACCAAAGAATCTATGGTTTCAAATTTTCTTGTGGGAGTAAGGATTATGAAGGCATATGTTTTCGTCAATCACAAACGTGTGCCATGAATCTCTTGCGTGGCATGCGATTATGAAAGGCTGGTGGGATTATGAACAACAGAGGCACTCGTTCATCATGAGGCAGTGCGAGGCAACCTGGTGGTGAGGCAGGCGGTGCATTCGACGAGCAGAAAGTTGGTCATGCATCTCCAACCAAAAAAAAAAAAAAAAAAAAAAAAAAACAGTTGGTCATGCATCGCTATGATAGTACACAACCAATTGTGGGGGCTTAGGATTACACTCATTATTCTTGTTTTAACATTTTATATAAAAAATTTAAACTAATTATCTTACAATTTAAATAGTTTAAATTTAATGACTTGACTTGAGCTAAGTTATTGGAGAGTCGCATTATTGGTTTGATAAAGATGTATTGTTGGTCAATCAATGTTCAAAAAACAAAAACTACTCACAGTCCAAAAGAAATCAGGTAAAGATGTATTGTTGGTCAATTAATGTTCAAAAGAAAATATAACAAAAGCTAGATCATGAATGAGAAAACATAAGGTAACCTAACCTTTGATTATCGTAGACAAAGACAGTGACGCAAGAACGATATGGAGTCAAAGACAAATCCAACGACACCTTTGATCCAGTGAAGGAGAGGGAAGCAAAAAAAGATATTGAATCAAAGAGAGATCCAAGAGGGAGAGCCGCATGTAAATTATATAGGATTTAAACTAAACCACTTACTCTAAAACACCAATCTCTTAAAACAAGTAAAAAAACTCAAATATTATAAAATATTGCATGATAAAACAAGTAACATTGGAAAATTCTGACACTAAATTATTGGTAGAAAGTTTAAAAAGGGAATCTAAAAAGAATAAAGAAATCAATACTTAGCCAAAATATTATGGACTGAAATGGGAAGTCAATTCTCTGGTCCTAATTAATGTGCACGATAAAACGGGTAGACCAATTTTATGTGTTGTGTGGTATATTTTATACGAGTTCGAAACTTTCCTCATATCATACCCCAAACCAACCGTTATAAAAACTCCCCTCTGCAGCGGCATCCCCAAACCCTAAATTCCCTTGTCCCTCAATTTATCATTCCAATAGCAAAGACCCTATCAATCATCTCGTATCATGGCGGCCGCTGTGCTCACCTCGGTTCAAGATGTTCAGGACCATGCCTTGACGATGGCTTCAGGCGAAGATAAGCTCCTGGGCAAGATATCAGAGATCGAGAAATCTCTAGCCGCGCTATCCACGCAGCACATCCAACTGGTCGATTTGAAGAAATCAATATGGGAGGAGCTTCACCTACTACGAGCCAGTAGGGCCCGCGCTCACAAGCATGGGGCCGTTCATCCTTACCCAAGGTCAGTGCACGGCTTAATTGTTGTTTTTCCTGATTCGCCGTTGTTTTTTATTTTATAAACTTTTTCGACTTGTCTGAGAAGATTAACTTGACTTATTCTATATCTCTCTGTTCTCTGTCCAGTTTGCCCATGTTTGAGCATGCATCAATGACGGTAAATCGGGGGGAACATAGATCTGTGTTTTTAGTGATGACTTGCAATGGGGAAAACACAGGTGCCCTGTATGAAGTTAAATTCAAATACGGGGGAGAAGTTGGTGATATGGGCGGAGGAGCAACACTTGAACCTGTAGACAAGTTCAGCCGTTTTAAAACAGGTGCAAGGATTTTCAACCGCTCCCAACTATATATATTTATAGAGGATGGTTGCGATAAACTTTGCCTCAGGTCATTTGATACCAAAACTAGGAAATTAGATCCCTTCATAACTACTACCTTAGAGTTTAAGCCGAGTAGAACAGTTGTGTCTGCTTATGACAGACTCTATTTTCTTGAAAATGCATCGCCCTTCGAAGCAGATCCACTTCCATCCTTTGCGAAATACAATCCTGATAAGAAAAATTGGGAGCGAATGCCTGAGTTTCCATTCAGTTATCCTTTTCCTAGGAGGGTAACTGGTTATGCTGTTTGTCATGGCATTATTTTGTATACATTGTTTGACGGACGCAAAAGCTCTAATGTGGTTGCTTTTCACGTGGGTAAAGAGATTTGGAATAAAGTGGAAGTTGACACTCATGATTATACTCCTTTCCGAGGGAGGGCCGTGGTTGTAGGCAAGACCATCTACGCCATGAATCTGTTTGAGGTGGATGAGATTATAGCATTCTCCTTGAAGATGAACAAACACGACGACGGTAGTATTGCATACTCACTAATCAAGCTGTGTAAATTGGATGGCTTGAAGATTGCATCTCCGCCATGTCCATTTGAGGTGCTTAAGAATGACTATTTTGTGCATTTGGGGAACCATGACTTCTTTCATGTTACGACGGGCAATAATTTTGAATTTTACAAGGTTCAACATCTTTGCATCACCACGTTTCAAATATTTGTTCGAGAAGACGGAAGACATATGATCGAGACCTTACATTCAACAGTTCTTACAATGGATATCGAGGCTTGTGGTCCGTTGATGGTCACGTTTGGCTTCACACCGTAAGTTCTCCTCACATTTCTTGTGTTTTCATCAAAAACATTAATTTGTACATTGGATTCTGTGACACTTTTTATGTATCCGAACCCATATAAATATAGTTTCTGTTGATTATGACTCTCAGAGAGTGTGAGGATTATGAACCCATAGAAGGGGAGGGTGCAGCTAGCATGGAGCATCCAAAACAAGAAGACGAAACCACTATGGATGTGAATTCTTTGATGTGGGAGGTGAAACAAATGTGTTTACATGAAATATTTTTATTTATTTAATGACCACGAATCAAGAGACTTAATAGTTTGTATGTCTATAAGTATTTTTATTAGCCTTTTGGTTGAGTTTTTCATAATGTAATTTGGTTTTGCAGAGAAACCAAGGAGGAAATAGCGCACATGCAGCATGAAAAGTCCTGAGGCAGCTTGAAAAAGCCAACCAGAAAAAACCTGACTGCAAACGGAAAAAGAAGATGAATAAAAAAATAAGAAGCGGATGGAAGGAGGGACATGTAGTAGAAAACAACATGTAATGTAAGTAGTTGAGGAGCAGGGAATCCGTCTTTGATAAGATATTATTGAGGTCTTTTACTGCCATCTAGCCCCTTGGTGTTACAGGGTTAAAATATGTTATTGATTGTTATCTTTATCTGATAGTTGATATGATACATTTGATTTGATCTCTCCAGTTCTATTTCTTTTAAAACTAAGCATTCACAAAGTGAGTGCAAAATAAGACATGGTCTCTGATGTGTGTGTTGGCTGTTGCGTTGCGTAGAAGAATGAAGTGTATGCACAGGTTCTTTCAACTAAGGGTATAAGTGTTTTTATTTTCCTTTTGGTCGAGTTTCTCAGAACGTAATTGGGTTTTACAGATAGAAGCCAAGGTGGAAATAGTCCACAGGCAGCATTAAAAAGTCAACTGGAAAGAACCCAAGGACTGCATATCTACGCTCTTGGTGTTATAGGGGAAAAAGATACGATCTCCTCAATTCTTTTTTCTTTTTAAACTCAGCATTCTCAAATTGGCTGCTCAAAGAAATTGACATTATCAAAAGTTCACAACTAAGGCTCACAAATAGCCCACAGGCAGCATAAATATACATTCTCAAATTGACATATCATAATAAGGCTCACAAAATTTCACATTACTAATCCTATCAATAGACATGAGAGTTGTTGTGAGAGAGAGAGGATGAGACGACAAACTGGGACTTTTTTGTTATATATTTTTAATTAATTATTGGAAGATGAATACTGTTGGAATTTTAATTTTGAAGAGGGCAAATATGGGCTTTCAATTTTACACTTTTTTTTTCCCTTCTATATGAGACATTAACAAAAATGCCTTCGAAAAATGCTTTACATTTTGATTATAGATGATGCAACATTTTTTATTTCTCTTATTTATTCTCAAATTATACTACCAGACACGTTTCACTGTTTTTGTTTTATGAAACTATTTTCCAATTAATCTACAAGATGCATTCTTGAATCCTAAAGATGCAAACGCGTTTTCTCATTTTAATTTTCTGAAAAACATTCTCCAAAACTGTTATCAGACGAGCCCTAAGTACCCGAGGAGCAGAGCAGGGTATCCGTGTTTGATTAGATATTAAATTGATGCATTTATTTGCAATCTAGGGATACAAGTCGGGCCCTAAGTACCTAAGGATATAGAATGTTCCTAGTTTACAAATTAAAAAAAAAAAAAAAAAAGTTTACTATTTCTTCCTTTATAAAAGAAAATAAATAACAAGTTTCCTGTTTCTAGTGTAGGTTAGGATTACTTTCCCGTTTTTGGCAAGATTAATTAGGTCATTATATAAAGGCTTTTTATCGCAAATGGTTCCTGAGGTTAGCAAAATTATCACCATTCGTCCTTAATCTTTTTTTGTGACATTAATAGTCCTTAACGTTACCTAGTACACATCAAAATAGTCCTGCCGTTAGAAACTCTATTAAATTATTGACGTGGAAGGTAAGTGGGCTCCACATCTCCAATGACGTCCAAGTTTACTCTATTATATTTGCTCAGATGTTCCAAGTTTACTATATAAATAATTATCATGGTTTGGTCACGTTTATTTTTATAGTTATTTATTTCACAATTATCTCTCACTATATCAAAGAAAAAATATATTTTTTTGTTGGATTATAACTTAAACCCTATGCTAGTGCTCTTTACAAATAAAAATAAAATAGAAAAGTGTATTATTTCTTCCTTCATAAAAGAAAATACATAACAAGTTTCCTGTTTCTAGTGTAGGTTAGGATTACTTTCCCTTTTGTGGCAAGATTAATTAGGTCATTATATAAATACGGATATTAGTGAAAGCATCTGCTCTTCTATATTTATATTCCTAGAAATTTCCGCGAGTTTGAAACTTTCATATCAATTTAAGAATTCCAATAGCAAAGGCCCTATCATAACGATGGCTTGACTCACACCAAGATGAGCTACTCGTTAAGATATTGGAGATCAAGAAATCTGTGGGCACGATATCAAAGATGGATAAAACTCTGGGCGTTGGATTTTTCGAAATCAATAACGCAGGAGCTTCACTTACTACGCCAAGGTGCACCCATAAGAGCATCTCCACCCACAAGGGCTAAGTCTAAGGCAAGGGCAAGCAAGGGCTGCCACTATTCACGTGAATAGTGTCAGCCTTTGCATTTGTGGTTCCACCGACAAGGGCAAAGTCCAGGACAAGTCTAAGGCAATTACTATTCATTGTACTTTATTTCCTATTTTTTTTATACTTTAAACCATTAATTTTAATAATTTTTTGTAATTAAATTTTCGGATAAGATTTTCACCCTCTAAAATTGTGCCACGTGTCCCATATCAGATACGATTTTCAGATATTGAAAAAAAAATTATAATATCAGATTTCAGATAAAATTTTCACCCTATAAAATTGTGCCACGTGTCCAGTGTCAGATAAGATTTTCAGATATTTTTAAAAAATTATAATCTCATATTTCAGATAAGATTTTCACCCTCTACAATTGTGCCACGTGTCAAATGTCAGATAAGATTTTCAGATATTTTAAAAAAATTATAATATCAGATTTTAGATAAGATTTTCATCCTCTAAAATTGTGCCACGTGTCATCTCTATCTTCTAAATCCCTCTATAAAACTACACCATCAACTCATACCTCTCACACTATCTCTTAGCTGTTCCTTCATTTCTTAGATTTTAGAAAACACATTCTACTCTCAATGTCAAACTTGTCGAGGGTGTTGGAGAGGCAACAGAAACAAAGGGAAGAAATCCGGCGTAGACGTGCTCAAGAAGATCGGGACGCTGATGAAGAAGAGGAACAACTGCTTGCAGCAGCGGTGTGTATGATGGATCAATCAAGGCAACACCGTCGTCGTCGTGCCCCGAATGTGGACAGACGTAGGGAGTCTCGGGGTAAGAATCTCATGGAGGATTATTTTATCCCAAATTCGTTAGATCCTGCTTCTAAGTTTCAAGAAAGATATAGAATGCAGCCACATTTGTTCCAAAAAATCATGCATGATATTTGTAATTACGACACATACTTCATTCAAAAGCATGATGCTGTTGGAGCTTTGGGTCTTATCCCGGAGCAAAAACTTACAGCTGCTTTGCGGATGCTTG